ATATCCGAGCACCTTATGGACTAGCGAATTACTTCACCTATTGGAACCTTGAGTACGAGTCCCCAATCCGGACCCTGATATCTTGGATGCGCTATCGGTGTAAAAGACACAGAGGTCTTGTGTTTGGAGGGAAGCTTGGACGGCTTCCCTTTCAACTTCGAGCATTATTTTGGCACTGAAGTCGGCGAGCACTTGTGACTTTACCGTCGTTCGCGGCTGGTACATGATATCGTGCTCACTTAGCTCGATGGCCCATTTTGCCAGCCTCCCCGACAGCTCAAGTTTATGCAAAATGCTCTTCAGGGGAAAGGTTGTGACGACCGAGATGGGGTGGCATTGGAAATAGGGTCTAAGCTTTCATGAAGCTACGACCAGGGCCAGAGCTAATTTTTTAGGTGCGGGTACCTTGTCTCAGTGTCGACGAGTATTTTGCTAATGTAATAGATGGGAGATTGTGTACCTTTGTTTTTGCGGATCAAGACTCCGCTTACCGCTACATCAGAGACGGCTAGATAGACGAGGAGTTGCTCCCTAGGTTCGGGTATTGAAAGAAACGGTAGTGACGATAGGTATGACTTCAGTTCTCGCAGAGCCTGGACGTACTCGGGAGTCCATTCGAGGTCGTTGTCCTTCTTGAGTACACCAAAAAATTTGTGACATCTATCTGACGACCGCGAGATGAACCTTGATAGAGCAGCAATTCGACCACTCATCCTTTGGACTTGTTTTTTGGTGGTTAAGAGTTTCGATATCCCCTCGATGACTTTGATATGATCTGGGTTGACCTCGATCCCTCCCTGCAACACCAGAAAACCCAAACGCGCATTTCTCCAGATTCAACTTCATTCCGTACCGTCTGAGTATGTCGAAAGTTTCTTTCAAATGATCGAAGTGATCCTATGCCCTTTCGGACTTGACCAACATGTCGTCTATATATACCTCCATGGTCTTACTGAGCTGGTCTTTGAACATCTTTGTTACCAAACGGCATAACCCTATAGCAATACATTCCTTGGTGGGTGATGAACGTGGTCTTCTCCTGATCTTCTTGCTCCATAAGAATTTGATTATAGCCTGAGTAAGCGTCCAAGAAACTCAATAGTTCATGCCCGTCTGTTGCGTCAATGAGTTAGTCGATATGGGTTAATGGGAACGAATCCTTCGGATATACTTTGTTTAAGTCCGTGAAATCCACACACATCCGCCATTTTCCATTTTTCTTTTTGACCATCACTACGTTGGCGATCCACTTGAGGTACTTCGACTCCCTGATGGAGCCATTCTCTAANGGGGGGATGGGCCGACGTTTAATTTGTGTGTGGCGACTTCCTTTGGGATGCCCGGTATATCTGCATGGCTAAAATCAAACAAATCTGTATTAGCTATTAAGAATTGACTGAATTTACCTGGTTCCCGGAGTTTGCAACCGATATAGGCCTTCTTGCCATGATGACGTCCTCGGTCTCTTCTTGCTTCGAACTCGACCCTGTTGATTGCTATGTCTCTTTTTCTTTGTCTTTTTTCTATTGGGTGGCCGTGCTGTCCAAGACAATGCGGTAGCATTCCCGGGATATGCGTTGTTCCCCGCGAATGCTGAATATTCCCCATGGAGTTGGGAATTTAATTATTTGGTATAGGCTGGAGGGGATGGCTCTCATGGGATATATCCATGGTCGTCCCACTCTGGCGTTGTACGTAGTGGCCTAGTCCATGATATGGAATGTTGTCTCCAGAGTCACGTCGCCGGCGAGGACGGGGAGTGTAATTTCCCTGGACATCTGCTCAACTACATTGTTAAAACTGGTTAGCGTGATGCAGCGTGACACTATCTTATCCTCGAGTCTCATTTGGGTAAGGACTCGGGGATGGATAATGCATGCGCCACTTCCATCGTCCACCATGATGCGTTTGACATCGGTATCTAAAATGCGTAAAGTAATAACGAGGACATCATTATGAGGAAAAGTCAAATAGTCGGCATCCGACTCGTCGAAGATGATACTTTCTTCGAGTCCGTCATACCGTTCGCGAGTGATGGGCCGCTTGAGCTTGTGAGTAGTGGTGAACTTCACGTTGTTAATAAAGGCGTCATCGCCGCCACCGATGATCATGTTAATAGTACGAGCTGGCAATGGCAGCTTCGGCGGGCCTTGATGTTCACGTCCTCTGGCGAAGTTGGTCCTCCTCTTATCGCTTAATAGCTCTTTAAGGTGCCCCTGCCATAATAATTTTACGACTTCTTGTCTGAGGGCAATGCAATCTTCTGTTGTGTGCCCGCGTTCCTGGTGGAACTCACAGAGGGCGTCAGATTTTCTGGTGTTCGGGTCTGATCTCATCTTCGGCGGCCACTTCACCTTTGTTCCAAGTTTCTCAAGAGCGTAGACTATTTCTGTAGGTGACACACAAAAATTATGAGCAGACAATAAAGGAGGCATACCTCTGTCGTTCCGATGAGTCCCTGTCCTTGTCTTGGACGGGCCTTCTTCGTAGCGGGGAAAGGGCACGACGGTCGCCCTGACATATGGTTGATGTCGTTCCCTGTTAGGTCGCGGAATCGGGTAATATCTTCTGGTGCTGTCTATTCATTCTTTTCTGGATTCGACTTGTACCGAGGTTAGCCGGTGAGTTAGTCCATTAAGTCCGTCCTCGTCTGCTCGGACCTTAGCACAATAAGCATTGTGGATTTTGTCCCAAGTGGTTGGAGGATACTTCATCAATCGGCTCAACAATTTTCTAGTTGTTCTTGAACCGTCCCTACTCAGGCCGTTCTGGAAAGCTGCAACTGCCATCCCTTCGGATACGTTCGGCAAAGTCATCCTTACTATGTTGAACCGGGCAAGGAAGTCCCTCAGTCTCTCCCCCAAGGACTGCTTAATAGCAAATGTGTCGTTGACTCTTGCTTCGGCCTTCTTGGCTCCGGAATGGGCGGTTACGAACTTATCGGCCATCTCTTCGAAAGTTTATATGGAATGGGCTGGTAGCTGCGAATACCATGTTAATGTCCCTCCCGTAAGGGTTTCGCCAAACTTCTTCGGCAACATGGAGGACACTTGTTCCTTGGCGAGGTCGTCGCCTTTTACGGCGGTGACGTAGTGAGTCACATGATCTTCAGGATTGGTCGTTCCATCGTATATCCTGAGGAAGGTCTTTGGTATGGCATGCGGGCCTGCATCATCGTTGTACGACTGCTCTACGAACCTGCTGGCGTCCCTTTTTGGCAGCAGCTTAGGAGCGCCCGGTATCTTGTCAACTCGTTTTTGGTATTCTTTCATCTGGTCTCGGAGTGCCTTGTTTTCATTCTCCATTTCTTCAATCTTCTTTAGAATGGCAGCGAGGGCGTTGTCACCTACACTGTCAGTAATGTTGTGATTTATACCTGTCATTGGATGGTTTGGTCGGTTGCACTGCTCGTCTGTTTGTTGTATCATGCAAGCTCTTGCGGTTTCTACAGTCATGCCTGGAGCGGGTTTGTTGACGACACTTGCTAGCGTGTCGGTCAGCCATGCTTCGAGGAGCTTCTTTACAGCTGGGGGTGTCCCTTCGTCTGCAGACGTGGAGGCCCCTTTTTCGCTGGTTTTTTTTATGCTGCAGTGTGGGGGAGGTGACCTCTCTTGCCTAAGGGACGCGTTGGGCGTCGTGTCCTCGCCTATTGTTTCACAACTTTCGTTGATGACATTCATGAGGTTGGTTGGGAAGTCACTTATTATTTTTGTCCTTTCTCCTTGATTACCTGCCATGTAGGGTTTTGTATGGACAAAGAAAGGAGATCTGGGGGTTTTGACGTTAGTGACTTGCATTTATTGTAGATCTAGAGGAAACTAAAAATGTAGCTAAGAAATCCCCACAAACGGCGCCAAATTATTTGACCAAAAATATAGATCTTGGTTCAAATAATTGAATTTATATAAATGAGGGTTAATCTTATCTAACAATAATATCCCTAAGATGGAGTTCTTAAAAATGCAACAAATGCTATGTAGATATATTCGGATAGCAGCGTCAGTATGCAATAAATATTCCGGAAATCAAAGGCAATAATGTAACATTCAATATCAATGAATAACACTAAATGGCATTTAAGTAAATAGAATGAATGAGTCACCCAAGAATGGATGGAATCAGTGAATGTTCTTTCTGACAATGATGAGTGATGGACAATCCTTTGAATATTTGAGTTATTCTTGAATTTAGTGGAAAAGTGTAGACAAGAATCTTAGTGAAAAAGTGATGTTTGTATATTTGCAATGAGATCCGATTCTCTTTCTCAAGTCAAAGTGTATTTTTACAAATGAATATCACATGTCCCCTATCATTGTGTCTCTTTTTATTTATAGGGAACATGTTGCTAAAAACCCTAACAGTACAAGTGCACAGAATATTCATTAGAATATTCTCTTTTGTATCCTATCTCAAAACTAGCCGTTACAGCTCTTTTAAGGGTGCTCGACCTCGGCCTCGATGACAACTCCTCGACTTCGGTCTTACTGACTCTTCGACCGCGGCCTTCGCTGATAATTAGATTGCTTCGATGCGTGATATCCCAGGAATGTTTTACTAATACCATTTCGACTAAAGATGGATTTTGACCATACATTAAACCGCATTCAATTTATCTTAACTTTGACTATTATCCCTTCTTAACTTCTTTTGAAATTCAAAGTTTCCTCTCAATTAAATAGCAAAAGAAAAAGAAAGACAAACACGAATTTACTCCTATCGGAGTGTTATGATGGTTAACAACGTTAACACACTCAACGGATTGGCTTATGGTTTCCTTTGGAATCTAACAAGTTAAATTCAGTTTTCACCAATTACAGCAAAAGAAAAAGAAAACTTCACAAATGGCTGAAATCGTCCATATATATGATCTCTAGTAATCTATCAAAAGTTCAAGACATATATTCAGGTTTCTATTTAAATCTCATATATTTCTCTAAGTCGAGGGTAATTAAGTTAAACAACACACAAGAAGAAAACAAGTACGTGCATGACAAAGACTATAACCCGAAGCACCTTATTGACTTTTTTTAACTGGACAATAATTGTGAAAACTCACAAGCTTACAAAAGAGATGAGCTAAGAAAATACATTATTTGACTTGCAGTATTTATATACAACCGAAAGAAAATGCTAAATGAACCAAAATGGAGAAAAGAAAATGTGACTGAGCCACCTGTATTTTACCCGTCTTATCTCATCAGCATTCTTTTTTATTTTGGATAACGGTGTTGTCGGGCCAACATGCATGCACCAACTACTTCACCTAGTATATGCTACTTCGCACAGCATCTGCTAACCAAAGCTTTGACATATGGAAAGAAATAATGCAATCTTTTCATCAATATTAGAATAATTTCTATCATAATTTATACAATTGCTCATCAATATAGCTCTAGTAAGACAATTAGAAGCATGTGGCCACTTTATGGGTGATATTGTCTCTTCCTAGTTGTCTGAGATCTCTCTAAGTCAAGTGTTCACCAGTTTAGCACATTTATTTACAATGAGGAACTATATCTTCTATTCCAATCTAATAAAATCACTGCACGCCATTCATCCATCTTCTAACTCTATAGCACAAAGTAAGCCCATATAAGATGAACTAATAAAATAAGGTGTGATGAAAATGTTGCAGGAAGAAATTTGATAAAGATAAGACAAATATGTCTTTCAGCACTCCAAGTAATTAAAAAGTAAACTAGTTTGGTAAATGAAACGCAATTAACTTTCTTATCATCAAACTCATCCTTCATATATTAAAGTTAGAAGAGAACCATACCATGTATTGGTTCCATGTTATCTTCCTTGAAAACACCAAGAGGAGAGCCATGCACCGATAGAAGCACTTCTCCAGTCTTAGGAAGCCTTAGAGTTTTGGGTGTCATCCCAACAGATAACTGATTGTTATTCACCTGTAATTATAAAATAGTTAAGAGTATGTATGCTGGCGTATATACTAGTCAACATTTCAAAAAGGTTGCAGACATTCTTCTCAAAGGAAAGCATCCTACATGACCCGCTGTCCTAATATTAATTACACGAGCATTGTTCCCATAAAACTACATGCCAGTGAAGTCTGATGGCAAATCTAATACTACCCACTGGTCCAGGTGCAGAAAAAGCAAAACGAAAGACAATGCTTCATGTTTCTGGGTATAAATGTTACGTAAACATTTCTATCGAAATGCCTTTTAGGAGATATTAAATGAACGCATTCATTCAGCCATAAAATACAGAAAGAGAAAAATGATACAGCAAAAAAGTAATAACTATGTGAACTGTGCAAAAGTATTTTGAAGCTACATACACCAGGAGTCTGATGAGTATCCAGCAGCTCAAACATCTGAGCATCAGACAATTCTTCTAGAACCTATAAATGCAGAATGACATAAGGAATAAGAAGAAAGAAACCATTACAATATATCACAGGTCAGAAAGTCTCATCAGGTGATCAATCAAAAGAAATAGGAAGCTTCATAACTGAACACTTCTACAAAAGCTAGGAGATAAGCCAGTGCCAAAGGCCACAAATGGCTTTAACCTCCCCTCACCTCCACCAGAAAATTGAGAAAGAAAGAAGGTTACAAAGGGGTGGCAAATGGGCGGGTTGGGCTGAATTTGGGCGGGTCAAGATAGATTAGGTCAATAAATGGGTCATTGCCTACCCCAGCCCAAAGTTTACTTGGGCTAAGATGGGCTGGGTCAAAATGGGCTAAACAATGGGGGTGAGTGGTGCAGGANTAACTAAGTAAATTTCTAGATAAGTTGGGTTGAGATCCCGTTGTTTTGGGGTGAGTTTCATGGGTTGTATTTGGGCTACTTCATGGGTCAGAATGAGCTACAAAAAATAATGGGTTAACTTGCCCAAATTGACCCATGAGCTAAAATATTGTAGCCCAACCCATTAATCTCCGGGCGGGTTGGGCGGGTTTGGGCTCAAATTGCCACCCCTACAGAGTACCAACTAGCTTTCTTACTTCCACTGTTCCACAAGTTAAAAGCTAGAACTTATCAACCAAATGAAAGAGCAGGCATGCAAGCAACGCATCTTGAAAATTGAAATATGGTATTGCAAGATTAATGGCATGATAATTAACCATTGAAAGTGTAGCAAAAAGTAAATGAACAGCATAACATACGAATTGCTTGATCTGCATGTTTTCAGCACCAAAGAGAGTTGCTTTAACTGTCAACAATTAGATAAAGCAAGTCAGAGAAAACAAACTCAAGAACCTTGAATTTTCAGATTTCAGAAAAGGATGCCAGAGGAGAGACTTTAAGATACCGGATTTGCTTGAAAGTCCAAATCCACTAAATGATGGTATGGCATTGGAGCAATCAGAGTAAGCCATTGACAGCTGTTGTAGAAGAGAAGCATGCAGATTTCTTCCATCAAGTAGGTCGATGCTTAGATTATCATCAGCCTCTTTCCATTTCACTTCATGAGTGCCATCCTCTTTCCTAGTAACAGCCAGGTTCGGAAGGTTTTCCCTAAAAAATTGCATTACTGGAATTTGCAGCTGCTCTTCATTGAAATTCGACCGAAGCAAACGCAGCTGAGTTAGTAATTGTTCGGTCTCCACATCACGAATGGCCCTAATTGCAGCACTTTGACGTTCAACTAGAAAAAGATGGGACAATAATTGAGCTGTAATAGATAATCTCAGATTTTCAATCACAATGAATTTATGAAAAATCTCAAAAATAGGGCCAAAACAGAAAGAAAAAGTTCTGACGAAAGGTGCCTTTATGGCAGTTCAGCAGTCATTTATCATGCTGGCCACACATGGAAGAACGTTTAATAGAATGGCTAATTCCAAATGGACCCTTAACCCAAAAAAGAAAACTAACTGGGCCAGCCATCTGTGGGATTAAATGGGCCCTTTGTATACCTTATTGTTGCATAAAAAGGAAATACATCGTTTGGGATTAAAAAAAGTAGATGGTACGTGTTTGATATTTTGAGATGAAATTGCATCCAAACAAGAAAAGTTACACTTCAGAATGTATGAGGCATGCCTCAAGCTTAAAACAGTGTTAAATTAAACAACAATAAGGTAACCATGCTAACCTAAAAGTTGATGTTTGATCAGCAGCTAACTCAGATTCTTTTTTTTACAAGCTAAACAAAGCAAAGGTGTCACCAACTTCGAGAAGTCTGCTCAAAATTCCATGAGGTTGTTAGTCTAACTATAGTGAAGCCAGTCACTTCCAAAGTTAATATGTTTCATATTTAACAATGTATTTTAGTTATGGCACCCTCTGGAGGTAAAAGGTAACACATATCAGATGATAATATATACAACTAACGAAGAGCAAAGTGGTGTGGTCTAATTATTATGAAGCCAGTCACTTCCAGATACTCTCTTCCATTGACCTCACTTATAGTAGGATGAAAGGGATTATTAGGTGATTGCGCTGATTAGTGAATAGTAATGTTTTTCTACTCCACTCTCCAACCCCCAATATCTCATTTAAGTAAGAAGAAAAAAAAAATTCACACAAGCAAGTTTCTAGATAAAAACAAAGTGCAGAGAGCTTATTGTTTCTTGCTATTAGAGTCGCAAGCTTGTATTTTCCTTATCGCGTTTCCATAACTTCTTGAAATCAGAGGAGCCTCATAGAGATAAAGCTAGCAAATGAATAATCTTTTCTCCTTTTTGGGCAGCATGCACAAGAAAGAAATGGAAGAACCTAGTAGCAGCACTTATTTCATGACATGAACACAAAGCACTAACACAAATGGAGAAGACAACATACCATTTGGAATATAACTTCAAAGAAAGGCAAACAGGTAAAATAGCAGTTTCTGCTCTAGGAATTTTGTGCCCCAGTTAAGTAAATGAAACTGTTATCTGATTCTTGCTTCCAGCATTTTTGTTTTCAAAGATAAGTGACACACTCTTCTTGTTTTTATTTTTTACTTTTCGGCATAGTTTGCATATAACTGACATAATATTTACCCACATGTTAAGTAGAACAAAATGCACAAGAAGATAGTACCTTCTTGCTTGATTAATATATCATCTTCCTTTTCCACTTGATGCTTCTCCTGAGCATCCTTCGTGATTTTTTGACTCTTTTTGAAAGTTCTGCCTCTCTTTCTGGCCATTGAATGGAGAAATTTTCTGCAAACACTTTCTCATACTAAGTTAGCTTTTTTGTTTTCTTTTGGGAGGAATACAGCTTTTTGTTACTATAATCTGCTATAGTGGTGGTAGTATGCTGATGTTTAGATTTAATATTGATGAAAGCTATATTTCTAAACAAGCTATCGCTCAAATATAAAAATTACATCCAAAGTGTTCATATTATGCATTAACACTTGAATTGGTTCACTTGGCACAACATGGAGATCAATGTCATTAGACCTAAAAGTGGTTATTTAGGGTGTGTTTGGTACGAAGGAAAATGTTTTTCAATTTTCCCATGTTTGGTAGGCTTAAATGTTTTGGAAAACATATTCCTCATTAACTCATTTTCCTCCTGTTGGAGGAAAATGTTTTCCCTATCAAGAGAAGGGAAAACATTTTCCAAAACTCTTTTTCAATCTTCCCCA